GTCGATGATGATGATAGTGCCCCGATGATGAGGATGATGATGCTCATGATGATTATGTTGATGATGATGACGATGATGGTGTCCCGATGATGATGATGATGACGATTATTCCGATGATGTTGGTGATGATGATGTTGATGGAAATGGTGTCCCGGCGATAATGAGGTTGATGATGCTGATGATGATGTTGATGATGATTATGGTGTCCCGATGATGATGCTGAATATGATGATGGTGATGATGATGGTGATGCTGATGATGTCCCGATGATGATAATAATGATAATGACGATGTTGATGATGATGTTGTTCATGATGACGATGGTGCCCCCAATGATGATGTTGTTGATGATGATGTCGATGATGATGCGATGATCATGATGATGGTGTCCCGAGGATGATGACGAAGTTGATGATAATGTTGAGGATGAGAACGATGGTGATCATGATGGTGTCCCGATTACGATGATGATTATGATGATGCTGATGATGATGACGATGACTGTGTCCCGATGATGATGATGTTGATGATGAGATTATGATGGTGACGATGATGATGTTGTCCCGATGATGATGCTGACGTTGATGATGATGTTTGTGATCATGATGATGATGATGACGGTGCCCTCATGATGGTGACGATGTTGGTGATGATGTTGATGTTGATGTTGATGATGTTGATGATGATGATGATGACGTTGATTGTGAGAGCGATTGTGATACCGATAGTGAGATCGATATTGAGACCGAATGTGAGATCGATTGTGTGATCGATTGTGAGATCGATTGTGAGATCAAGTGTGAGATCGATCGAATGAGATAGATCGAGTGAGATCGATTGTGAGATCGATCGAGTGAGATCGATCGAGCGAGACCGATCGTCAGATCGATACTGAGATCGATAGTGAAACCGATCGAGTGAGACGTTGGTTCCCCCCCCCCGAACCTCCTTATCACCCGAAGGGTGGTCGTATAGGTACGGCTATAGGGCTATAGGGCTATAGGGTTATAGTGCTATAGGGATATATGGCGATTGGGCTATTGGGCTATAGGGATATAAGGCTATTGGGTCGCTTTCGCCAAAGCGGGCCGCGCCGTATCGGCTTGGCCGTCGGGGGGCCCATCGGCGCCTCCTCTCTCACGAATAGTCATCACTCGCTTTCTGGCGAATCTAATAATATCCCTGGCGGCAGTCGCAGCAATAATACCAAATTTGCCGCAGGCACCACGGAAGTGCCCTTCCTCTTTGTCTTGAAGCTCAGTGGCTTCGACATGTGGAAGGAGCCAAGAAATAGCTTCCTGTAACTTCACGCGCTGACAACGGATATCAGCACGAGCCTGTTTCCCCAAATTACAGGCCCATTCCTCAATGAGGTCGTCCGTCTCAATCGCCACACGAATGCGGCAATCAAGAGCATATGCATCCTTTTGACGCTTATCATCATTGTAATATACGCCGGTGCCTTGGGCAAGAAAATGAGTCCCAGGGTATGCAATGTAGTGTCCCTCTGCAGCGAAGCAGCTAATGATCTCGCGAACAATCACAATCACACGAAAAAGGCGAAGGCACAACTGAAGTTCTGAAACCGGGACTCTCCAGTTCCAATCAATGATGCTGCGCACATTTTCTGGGACTTCGTGCGTTACTTCACCAGGTGGTCGCAACCTGTCAGGGTCACGATCTTCAGGGCGATAGCTGGTGTGTTCCATGACGTATTGGGCGGCCACTTCTTTGGCGCCGTTCTCGGTCAATGTGATTTTCAACGAATTGTCATCGCGATGGGAATATACATACCCATTGGGCTGATCAAGATTGATTTGCCCGCCAATTATCTGCTCGGTCTGGGACCCGCAGACTGCGGTGAAATCAAAGGTTATGTGTAGATTCTCCTCACCGGCCGTCACGGTTGGACCGGCGGCAGGTTTGGCATGCGTACACACTGGAACGAGAGGGTGCTCGGAACACATTCTCACGCGCCTGCTGACGGACCGGGAAGCGCGACGGGGACGCGGCACAAAACTATTTGCCCAAGCAACCGGTGGACGGCCACGTAGGCTAGGCCCCGTGACGTCCATGTCGTCGCCCTGATCAATGGGCAGCCAGGGTGCTGTTCCATTCTTTGCGTTGCGCAATGACCGAAGCGCTGGCACGAAAATGTTCGACCTGGCCACGTTATGCTCCCATGCGAACCAACCTTCATTTGGTTCAAAGCGTGTGTCGGGATCATCTGGCCACTCAAAGGCAGCCAGAGCAGGGCGTGACATGGGACGCGCATACTGGTCAATTTCTGTTGCCCAAAGTAAGGGCCACCACTCTGCGATCGTTGGGGCTTCTGTCTGCTCTCTTTGAGCCATGTGTGCGAGCCATTTGATGAATCACCTCTTCAGAGGCTCAAGGTACTGAAAGAAAGGACCGTGACGCGCCGGCGGCTGGGCCGCGGCGCGGTCAGGGATCCAGGCAGGAACGCTGCCTGCGCGACTGTTTCCAAAGGTTTGACCTGAACCAGCCAAGCGCCTACAGTGATTACTCGTTGTCCACTTGCGCTCCTGCTGCAGATTGTTGCTGATGTTGTATATTACATATGCCGAAGCTCTCCGTTGTCTGTTTATTCGTGCTCCGACGTATTGATCACGCTCAGGGGGGAGCTGATCGGGATTAACCACATGCAACAAAACGCCGTTTCTCGAGAGTGAATTCTCAATGATCTGATGTCGGTGCGTCTGGAGCACGTAGTCGTGGGCAACCTTGAATTTGTACTTGATCGGATTGTGGCAGAGGGAATAATGTCCAAAACCAGTTCTCACCCAGTGCCAGTTAGCACAGAGGAACCGACCACCGTCCTCCCAGGGGACAGTCTGAACACATGCTGCTGCCTCAGAAGGCAATGTAGGCACATAATTTTGGATTAATGACAAAGTCTCATCAGTATGAATCCAACCGAGCATGGAGGTGTTATCAAAATTTACCTCGTACGATGTCCATTCTTGGTTGAAAACGATGGACCAGGACATGTTCTTTTCCTTTTGATCGTACCAGTCGCTAACTTTGACCAGGGTGACGGCTTTGTCGATATCAGTAAACCTCGGCACCTCGCGGGGCACAAGGGTCCCGTCCTGGCAAATCCGGTGCGAAAAACGAGTGAGCACCCGGCCATTGAAAACAATAGTCAATGGCCAGGATTCCCTGTGAGTCGGGAGCTGGTCCCACAGAAGGACTGCGCCCCCTGCGTGCCATGCTCCGATTGATGGTGGTTCTCCAGGCTGCGCATTACTACTCATGGCCACGTGTTTCCTCACAGGTGCAGGGTCGCCATACCTCCGCTGGCTTAGCACGACTGGGATCCTTCTTGGTCGGGAGAAGCCTCAGCAATTCGTAATCCGCATGGAGGCAAAGCCCCGAGGCTCTTTCTGGGAATTTCACCTTTCCAACCATGGATTCCATCAGTGTCTCCATATCAGTGATGTGGAGAATGGGGCCCATGACACCTGGCTTGGCCAGGGTCATAGGGCGCGCACATTCTCTCAATTGAAGCAACAAAAAATGAATGTCCCTGGCAAGCTCGATAGAAAACAGGAATGGGAGAGGTAGCCCTCTCCGCCCCCTGAGAGGGCCATGCCTTATAGTTGCGCCACATTATGTAATCGGTCGTCTCACTGATGCTGGCACTGTCCTCAGGGAGCACACCGAGGACCTCCACAGTTCCCTGCTGCAGCGCGGCTAGGCCGTGCGCAGCAAGTGCATACGTCTGATAATCAAATCCGTCCGCGGTCATCTTCTCAACCAGGTCTCCAAAGTAGACCCAGCCTCCCGAGGACCTCGCGTAATCAGAACAATGCCTCGCAAGATGCGTTGCACAGTCGCCAGCGCGATTAGCGAACTCTTCCACTCGGTAACTTTGGGGTCTCCAATAATCCGAGCTGCCTGGGGCAGCCGGATTATTGCCATCATCGACCCCAACAACCAATGGCTTCAGAAATTTAAACGATTGCGCATTGAATCCATCAGGAATATCGTCGGAGTAAAACTCAGCACGGAGAAATTCTCGCGCCAAATCGAAAGTGCCCTCTTCTATAGGAAGCTCGCTCAATAATACAAATATGGGATCTTCAACGAACTCTGCAATGTATC